AAAAAAAAAAAAAAAAAAAAAAAAAAAAAAAAAAGAAAAAATGATATAAATATGAAAAAGCTGAACAAACAAACTAGCACACACAGAGATATATTTACAACAAACATAAGCAAAATTTCAAAAATCACAGATAAGAGAATTTTGGGAGCTGCAAGATAAAAATGATGTGTTACAGTCTCATGACATAACCAGTGAATTCATCAAAAAAAAAGTTTGCAGGTGAGAAGGAAACTGTGTGATATTGTTAAAGTTATAATTTAAAAAAAAAGCTGCCAAATAAGAATAATGAATAATACCATCAGCAAAATGGTACTACCAAATAAAAATAAGTCCTTCCACAATAACCAAATCCTGAGGAAGTATATTGGCACTGCATATGCCCTACATATCAAAGATGCTGAAAGGAGTTCAGAATGTAATGCAGGAAAACAACACATAATCATATGAAAATACGTTACTTTCTGGGAAAGATGTGCACATACACAAAAATGAAATTTCTTAACATCATAATGATGCAGAAAACATTTTTAATTATTCTCTAAAATTTAAAAGATAAAACTATAGAAATTATCATAAACATCTGTTAATCAACATAAAAATATTAGCAAAATCAATAACAAAGTTGAAGGCAGATATAATGATGAATAAATTTTGTATGTAAAAAGTTAATTTTTTACCACATTAAAATGTATTGTTGGATCTTTAAAAGGCTTTATGTAATCCCCCAAGTTACCACTAAAAAAATATCTGTATAGATACATAAAATAAGAAAAAAACGGAAAGCATGTTCATACAGAAATAAAAATTAAAAAAAGAGAGAAAATGAGAGTCAAAGATACAAATATCAAATGAACAATTAATAAAATAACATTTATCAGTTTTTCTCTTTCAGAAAACTATTTAAATATATGTACATATAAATAAGTATCTTTCCAATCAAGAGACATACTTTCAATAAAATGTTGGATCACCTGAGATTGGGAGTTTGAGACCAGCCTAACCAACATGGAGAAACTTTGTCTCTACTAAAATTACAAAATTAGGCCGGGCACGGTGGCTCACACCTGTAATCCCAGCACTTTGGGAGGCCGAGGTGGGTGGATCACGAGGTCGAGAGATCGAGACCATCCTGGTCAACATGGTGAAACCCCGTCCCTACTAAAACTACAAAAAATCAGCTGGGCATGGTGGCGCGTGCCTGTAGTCCCAGCTACTCAGGAGGCTGAGGTAGGAGAATTGCCTGAACCCAGGAGACGCAGGTTGTGGTGAGCCGAGATTGCGCCACTGCACTCCAGCCTGGGTAACAAGAGCGAAACTCCATCTCAAAAAAAAAAAAAAAAAAAAAAATTACAAAATTAGCCCAGCATGGTGGTACATGCCTATAATCCCAGCTACTCAGGAGACTGAGGAGTGAGAATTGCTTGAACACAGAAGATGGAGATTTCAGTGAGCCAAGATGGTGCCATTGCATTCCAGCCTGGGCAACAATAGTGAAACTCCATCTTTAAAAAAATTAAAAAGTAAAATGAAATGTAATCTTAGGACCTCGGAAGGCCAAGGGTTGATCACCTAATCCCATGAGTTCAAGACCAGCCTGGGAAACCTGGCAAAATGCTATCTCTACAACAAATACAAAAAAGTTAGCTGATGTGATGACACATACTTATAATCAAACTACCTGAGAAGCTGAAATGAGAGGATTTTCTCATATTGAGAGGTTTGGGCAGCAGTGAGCCATGCAAATCATCCTGGTTGACAGAGAAAGAGCCTGTCTCAAAAACAAATAAATTGAATGAATATATAGATAAATAAAATTATATAAAGAAATAAAATGCCTGGGTAATTAAAAAAAATTTTTTTAATTAGCATACAGTACGCTGCCTACAAGAGACATATTTTAGCAATGAGTGAAACAGGCTGACAGTAACAGACTAAAGAAAATGTATATTCTATGAAAACAGTAACCACAATTGAGTGAGGTGGTCATAATTATATTTAACATAATATGCTTTAAGTCAAGTACCACCATAAGTCAAAAAATGATATTGTATTATGGTAAAATGAGTTAATTTACCAGGAATCTA